GGAGTTAGGAGCAGTGGTCTTCACACTGAAGATTTGGAGACATTACCTCTAAAGAACTAAGTGCAAGATCTTCACTGACCATAAAAGTCTGCAGTACATCTTCAATCAAAAGGACTTAAACATAAGTTAACGGCGATGGGTAGAGTTGCTCAATGACTACAAGTGTGAAATCCGCTACCATCCCAGCAAGGACAATGTGGTAGCAGATGCCCTTAGCCAAAAGGAAAGCTCAAGCAACAAGGCGAAGACACTGACGATGACCAACCATTCTCATTTATCCACTCAGATCCGAGAAGCCCAGTCGATTGTTTGACAAAATCCGCTCACTTCCTTCCGATTAAAGAATCGTTCAAAATAGAAAGACTACGCAAACCTACATCCAAGAGATAGTCTGACTGCACGGTGTACCTGTGTCCATTATCTCCGATCGAGATAGCAGGTTCACCTCAAGGTTCTGGCAGTCCCTTCTGAAAGCTCTTGGAACTAAGTTGGATATGAGTACAACTTATCATCCTCAGACAGACGGACAGAGTGACAGAACTATCCAGACCCTGGAAGACATGCTAAGAGCATGTTTCATTGACTTCAGAAAGTCATGGGACACTCATTTACCCTTGATCGAATTCTCGTATACTAACAACTACCACACCAGCATCAAGGCTGCCCAATTCGAAGCTCTATATGGTCTCAAGTGTAGACCCCCTCTGTGTTGGGCCGAGGTAGGAGACACGCAGCTAGCCAAGAGTTGAGTCCCCGACAGTGCTCTCACTGGTCCTGAAATCATCCACAAAACCACCGAGAAGATCAACCCAATCCGAGAGCGACTGAAAGCTTCACGAGACATATAGAAAAGTTATGCTGATAAACGACGGAAACCCTTGGAATTCCAGGTTGGAGATCATGTTCTGTTGAAGGTCTCACCCTAGAAAGGCATGATACGCTTTGGAAAGTGTGGAAATATTAACCCGAGGTACATAGAACCTTTCAAGATCCTCCCTAGGATCGGTCCCATAGCCTATAAACTCCGACTACCTCAAGAACTTAGCAACATCCATCCTGTCTTCCACGTCTCTAATCTTAAAAAGTGTTTATCCGATGAAACTCTCGTGATCCCTCTTGGTGAGATCGAGATCAACGAAAGTTTGAAATTCGTGGAAGAACCCATCGAAATCATGGATCGAGAGATCAAACGTACCAAACAAAGTTGCATCCCGATAGTGAAGGTTCGCTGGAATGCCAAGCGGGGACCCGAGCTCACTTGCGAGCGCGAAGACTCGATGAAACAGAAATATCCACATCACTTTCCTAATCCATGATTTGTATCTAAATTTTAAATTTCGGGATGAAATTTTCTCGAACGGGGGATAATGTGACAACCCATAATTTATTCCATCACTATACCCGTTCCCGTTAATAAAACCGTTCATATTCCAATTTTTTCCGTTAACTTTTGGTTTAAATTAATTAAATTGGGACTTTTTATTTTGACATCATAAGTGTCGGAATGCAATAAAAACACGTGAAACGCCCCAAATTATTATTTGGAAAAATTTTAGTTACGACTAAGTCGTAATTACGGTAATTTAATCGGGTAAAATTTAAAACCCCGTTTAATGTCGGTATCGGGTAGATTTCCACCGGGTCTCAAACCCAACCCCTATATAAAGGATGAGTGGACATCTTTTGAAGACTTTTTACCCACCTCATAAACATTCTCTCTCTACTCTCTCTCTCTAAAACTCGAATTTGAGCCAAAAACACCCGTTTCAAGCTTCAATCTAGTATGTAATCTATCCTAGAATGTTTCTAAGCTTGGTTATCATGCAAATATATGTTTAAACTACCCAAAACCATCAAAAACTTGTGTTTACGGTTTGGGAACACCTCCCAAAACCGTAAACTCCCTTAAAGGGGTTTTGAAGCCCCAAAACCATTCCAAATCCCTTCTGGTGCTTAGATATGGCTCAAGGACTTGCATATACGAGATTTGAACATCAAAATCACGTTATTTTGGTAGTAAACATGAGTTTAAGGCCCAAGAACATTCTTGGACCGTAAACACATCTTCAAGGACCATAAACACCTTTTAAAGTGTTAAATTGCCCCTTAAACACCTCCACAGGCTTCCATGAGTGCGTAGAACCTTGTACTCCTTCATATGATGCACCAAAACATATAAAAATGTGTCACACTTGAGTTTACAGTTTGGTAAGGTTTCCCAAAATCGTAAACACCTTCAATGGGGTGTTTAAGTGCCCTTGACACTTTGTATGACTTAGATTTGGGTCTAGAACATTGTATGCTTAACCAACAACCACCAAAGCACATGATTCATGGACAAACATGAGTTTACGGCCGTAAACTCATGTGTTTACGGAAGTAAACTCCCCAAGTGCCATTAAAGAACTGTAAACTCCTTTTCCAAGGTCAATTCAAGTCCCGATCACTTCCTAAGCCATAGAATCAACCTTAGAACCTTCCTTTACGCATTATAAGACCTTTAAACATCCAAAAGCACACCACCCATGAGTTTATGGCAGTAAACTCATGGGGACATGGTCTTTCGATCCTAAAAACCTCTAAGGGCTTACTCTTGAAGAGTAAACTCCTTATCTAGGCCCTACACATCCTTACGTGCTACCCGGATCACTCCTAACACTTGAAATCAAGTGTTTTCGCATCTTGGAGTGTACTGTCTTATCTAATTAGCAGTTCAAAGTCTAATTAGATAGAATTGTGTATCTCTTCATATTACATAGGAAAATCGCGTGTACTCAAGCCCCGAACTGACACTTAGCATCCAACCGACACATTTCTCGTCTCGTGAGTTCATACCCCTACACTTTTTCCATGTTTTCAATGTTTCAGGGGGGGGGATACAAGCAAAAGTACAAGAATATCTTGTACTCAAAGTTATGATTTCTTATGAAATGTTTCATATTTCGTATGCTTTTAACACTGGAAACTGTATTAACCAACCGTTTAACTTGCAGAGTTAGTTTTCAAACTATTTGTGAAACTCATTATAAAATGCTATATTTTATATTTCACAAATGATTTTCCACATAATTATTGTTAAAAGCATCAACTTCAGAACTTTCAACACGCCTCGGTAATACTCCCCTGTATACGAGAGTGGAGGACTAGACAATCAAATTTTCTAACGTCCTCGGTAACACTCCCCTGAATACGAGAGTGGAGGACTAAACAACCCGATTTTCTAACGTCCTTAGTAACACTCCCACACGATAGAAGAGTGAAGGACCAAATTTTCATTAATCTTAATACTGGAGACACGTCCTTGGTAACGCTCCCCCGGATACGAGAGTGTAGGACTACCCCTGTAACTAGAATCTCCTGGAGGGAGAACGCGACTTAAGTGTATAGATCTATACGGGATTGACTACCCCACACCTGGTTGCTAGCTACAGTCGGACCGACAGGTCTACGGGTGACAAAAATCATATCAACGATATTGGCCTAGTATGCGCCTTATCCAGTCTAATGTATGGTTATGGAACTCGTAACTTAGATTATGAAAACTTTTCTACTTACTTATTAATGTTTTGTACGTGTTAACACTAATGCACTTTCAAGGATAACCAAGTTTTCAGAATACTTATCTTAACACTGTAAGTTTGGTAGATACTTGTACAACGCATTCAGAACCGATAACCAACTACAAACTTCTAAGGAAAATAAGCATTTTTTCTGGGATAACTGAACTGTTCATAACCAGATTGTATAACAAATGGATAACTAAACTTTACTTATAAGAAAATATGAGATTTTCTTGGATAACAACTTTTTTCAGAGAAATAAAGGAAACTTGTTCATTTTTAGAAATAAACCGCTTATGAACTCACCAGCTTTATGCTGATTTTCAAACAACTTGTATTCTTAGGTCCACATTTGACAGGTACCCCACGATCTTTTGGAGAAGGCGGAGCATTTTAGCAGCCACGTCTCTACTTTTGTTCAAACTAATGTATCGATAAAACATGTATTTCTTTACTTTCAAACAAATGTAAATACTTCTATGTAATGTAATGTTTTGTGTCTACTATGCTTACTATGTACATTGATTGTGATACTTTACATGACGTCCTTCGCCCCGAAACGTTTCCGCCTTCGGTTTCGGGGTGTGACAACATGTTCGAAAAAAAAAAACAAACAAAACAATAAAAACATAATCTAAATTTTTTTCTCAAGTTTATTAACCATTACCGGAAACTTAGAAACATTGATGCCTTCAATGAATTCAGAAGAGAATAGATGTTTTTGGGAAATTCTCATGAATTTCAGTCGACCTTTAGAAGAGAATACAACAACTCTATGTGGTTTCTTTAGAATGTTCCCAGGCAACTCATTCTCCATATTCAGATTCACATTTGGTTCCTCAACTTCCTTTTCTCCTAGCTATCCAATCTCTCAGTCAACAATGAAATCAATAATCATGTTGAGCACATATTGCCTTAGGCATTGCAGAACATCTACATAAGTTTTATATGTATTCACCCTTTTTTTCAACCAAATGATTATTGATTTGATATCAGCTTGGTTTATTATAGGGTAATCAACTTTAGAAAACATGAACTCAAAGTTGTCTATCCTTCTTCCTTGAAAGAATGCATATGGCATTTTTCTAAATTTTTGTATGTCAATCTTGTTGATTGAAGCAATCTTGAATTTTGACCGTATAGGGACAACTTGAATTGGTTTCTTCAGAAAGAATCTTTTCTTTAGGTCTTCAGTGTCTAAATCAATCTCAGCTGGATAAATTGCACTTGGCCATAAGTTAAACTTCATACCATTCGGGGGTGTAGGAATATCCCAGTTTTCTTTAGTGAGGTCTGAAGGAGGTGTGAAGGAATTTGTGGGCTTGATGACCTTTACCTTTTGATAGGAATCTCTATTACGGTTAAAGAAGATAGTTCTTTTAGGTGAAGACACTCTAAATTGTTTATCATGCCATGTACTCCTTTCTTCAGTCGAGATCTCTAGAGATTTCTTTTTCGAAGCATCTCTTGTTTAGACTTTAATTCCTTTTCCTTTAGTTGCTTAGCTAACTCTTCGTCTATATGCATTTGAGTTTCTTTAGCTAATTCCTTTTTAGACTTGAAGATAATCTTCTGCTTTTCCCTATCGTTGGGATCACTGTGAGAAAGCTTTGACTGAGTGGTTGGTTCTGATATGATGACCGGTTTAGAGAAGTGGACATCTTTCCTTCTTGGAACTTTCAGAGATGGATCATTGATCCCTAGTTGACGAATGAGATCCATTTCCTTCTCAGCTAACATGGCTCTGTTATGTTGAGCCTTTAATTGTGCATCAGCAGCGATTTTGTCAACTGACTATATTTTCTCATATCTCCTTTTCTCAAACTCATTTGGTGAGTCTGGAATTTGGTGTATGATAGGAGACTGACCTGATCTGTTCTTGTGGACCTTTTCCCCCTCTAGTTCAGGTGACCTCTCATTTGAACCAGATACCTTTTGTTGAACCAGATAGCTTTGCTATGTCAGAGCTTAACGAATCCATTTGGCGTTGAACTTGCTCACTGAACGCCTGAAATGGAGAGGTGGATGATGATGTAGAGGCTTTAGATAGTTCAGTAGTGGACTTCTCAAGAGTGGAGATATAGCGATCTTGAGCAGTAACATGATTCTGCATATGATCCAATTTGGCTTCATAGACGGATTCTAGATTGGATAAGGAGTGTATGAAGTCATCTATCTTCTGATTCATCGGAGAGAGACATGCGTCAATAGTGTTATGAACTTTCTGATCTAGAGTTTCGATCCTTCATATGTTGCGAGCAACTTGTCCTTTGATATAAGCAGTTGCGCCTTCAAAATCTTCAATAATGACTTGAAGTGTTTTGACTCGTGCTTCTGTTTTCTCATTAAGGATACACATATTTTCTTCCATACGTTCAAGATATTCGTGAAAGTTCTGCAGATATTCAGAGTGAGAAGATCTATGAAAGCGAATCTCTGCAATACCATCAGCTACCATTTGGGCAGTAAGTCTGATGCGCTCAGGCTTTGTTTATGTGGTATTGTCCTCATTTGTGTCTTTAGGAGTATTGTCGTCCTGAAGAGGATCTTGTGAAAAGGATGAAAGATTTGGTTCGTTAACAGCATCTTTTTCTAGAGATTCTTTGGGAGTTGGAGGAGAGTAATCATCAAGATCAATGGTGAAAATCCTGGCAGATACAGTGGATAAAGAACAATAGACATGTCATTGGTCTTATCATCGACTATCAGTCCTTCAGTGGAAGGGATATCGACCATCCGCATTGGAGTATCGTCATCAGGATTATCTTGTACTGGAGAATCTTGAGGAAAATTTTCTGGTTCGGGTTGCTTATCATCATCTGGCTTATCGTCCTCAAGTGAGTCATAATCCAAGGAGACATGATGGTTTAGACTTTCTAGAACTGACTGAACGTGTGCTGGTGAAACTGGAGCTGAAGAGGATGGTTTATCATAATTAGATGGAGTGTGAAATAAGGAATCTATGAAAGAGAATGACATAGAGGTTGTACCAGATTTAGGGAGAGATGTGGGTTCCTCTAAATCTGCTCCATTATTATCATCAGAGACGGCTGGAGATGAGATAGGGCGTGATTGACTTGATTTGGATTTGTTCTTTTTCTTTGCAGACTTCTTGGATGCATGATCAGAATGCTTCCTCTTCTTTTTGGGAGGCGAAGTAGTTCCCTGGATGTAGTTTTGATATGATCATAGAAAAGCATTGTTTTCATCCAACTTTGTAAGAATAGAATCCGGAATGATTACTGGTTGTGAAGACCTAGATGCAGCTGTCGTACGTATCCGATATGGCGTCATACACAAGGAATCCATCCTGGTGCAAGATTACTGTTATGGATGGCGTCATAAATAATGATTGACCACCAACAAGGATGATAAATCAAAAACTTATTCTTTGATGCAGGGAGAAAATTAAGGAAGTCTTCCCAAAGAATAGACGTGTAGTCAACATTGATGTCGTAGAAGAGCCCGTACATAAGAATCCAAAGGTCTGTTTTACCTTTGCTGCATCCATTAACTGATCTGCATAGACATCTAGTGAGGACAGAACTGAGAAAGTGCCATGGTGTGGGAAGACAAGATTTCTGAATTCTTGAAAGACATGGTTCTTGTTTGTCTTCGAATTTATACCCCATTTCCATGAACATTGTCAATAATTGAGTAGAAGTTGGTATGACAAATGTTTGAGGTGTAGGAGGAATATCGCTTAGACCTAAACTGACTTTGAACTCTTCTATAGTGAGTACCAAAGTAGCTTGAAAAGGATTAAATTCAACATCAAGTTGTTTAGACCTTGCTCTTGTGGAGATGACTGCTGACTGAAAGACTTCAATGATAAGAGATTGTCGAGTTAGAGAAGTAAAAAGAAGTGCATATGCGAAAGGGCATTTATGCAGATACTCAACTATGACACCGACTTCTTTGGGTTGTTCCTGAGTGTTGACAAGTGCAGTATAGTTGGATGCAGCCATTTCAACTTTAGGTGATGATGAGTGTGTCTCGGTTGAAGGTCCAGTGGCATGAGAATGTGAATCCTTATGAGAAGACTTTGCTTTAGAAGTCTGACCATCTTCTATGTCAGCCATGTCTTGAAAAAAATAAAAATAAATAAAATGAATTGTTGGTGAAAGAAATATAGCTAAAAAGAATAGCTTATAATCTTAACTAAAAGAAGGAAAGCGGGGTTGAAATGTGTGAATTTGCAATTACTAAACAAAGTAATGATTTGAGTAGTATTTTTGATTCTACTATGGACAGGAAGAATCTGCAAATTCATTTTTACTGAGTATAGGCCAGAAAGCAAATTACATGACAATTTGGAATAAGAAAGAAAGAAATTGATGTCATATACAAAAAAATGTTACTAAATCATAGGAAAAGTTCAAAGATCAAGTAAAACTGCTAAGTCATGGCCTATGATGACTATGTCACATCAAATGAAAAAGTCTTTAGAAATTAACATAAAATTAGGTATCATAGAGACAACAGTTGACAAAAAAAATATATGTTGATCCGAAAATAACATATAATGAAATGAAACTAAAGATCACAGATGAGTAAGAGAAGAGAAATTACCGTAAAGAAGATGAGTGAAAGTAATAGACTTGTGAGTATGAAAAGCAAGATATGCACCAATAACTATAATGCACTCACGAAACATTTGATAAAAGAATCAACAATAAATAACCTAAGCATGGTATGTGAAGATGAATTAATGATAAAAGAAATTGAAATAAGAAAAAAAAATTAAAGAAAACAAAAATAAAAAAACAAAAATAAATGCTCACCCAATATGATTGCAACAAGAGTAGGTGTTCACTTAAAAGAAGTGACAGGTCAATACTAGGGGAACCAGTAGATGTATTGTTGAATAGATTGAGCAACAGAGCAATAAGTCAACACAAATGACACATGAGATATTCAAATCAAATCTAGGGTGATCAAGGAATTTGATGCTCAACATAAAATGATGATGCTCAAAAAAAAAATAATGATGCTCAACAAAAAATAGCAGTGTGGTAATGAACCACTACAATAAGCAGGATGACGATAACGTGAATGGTAGACTAGATACACCTATGATCACAAAAGACTTGATGATCATATAATACTATTGCAAAAAAAATGTGAACATTTATTTTGATGCATGCAAAATTGGAACAGCTCCAAACACAAAATTTATGATGAACCAACAAATATGTGATGATACGTAAGGGGTGACTCAATTGATAGTGGTAAGGGAATTGATGAATGCAAAACAAAAAAACGTAAGAGCTGGGAAGAAACAAAAAAAAAACTCACCTACAGGGGATTATGTGCCAAAGGATTGAAGAATCCAATTGATGTGGATACTTTTAATGAACACAAGCAGGAAAAACGAATATGCTGCCAAGACTTTGATGCCAAAAAAAAATGTTTTCCAAGAGATTACTAGTACAAGGTTGTTGTAGGGTTTGGAAGTTGGCTATGGATCCTCGATGGTCAATTGTTGATATTTCTCCAAGAACTCGTGATGGTGCAAGAAGATGCGCCAAAAAAAACGATGATCTGATCAGATGATTTGTGCGCCAAAACCCAATCAGAAATCCTTAGGAGTTGCGCCAATGAGAAGTTCAAAAAAATCGGATATAGGATACGGTTTAGGGTTACTTACTCACGAAGACATGTTACTCCAAGCCTTGTTGATCACGATAACATTGCTCCATTAAAAGGAATAGTGCTCCAAAGCCAAAGTTGTAGGTCGTTGATGATCATAAGAGGATCACGAGAAGGATGAAAGTTGCGCCAAAAGAGTATCGAGGGTAGGAGGTTGCGCCAAAGTAGTTGAGATGCATGTTCAGATGTTCTGGAAAAAAAGTCTTCGGCTGGGAGGAGATGCGCCAGAAGAAAATCAGGAAAGGGATGATGCTCACGAGGGTTGAGTTGGGATGGCGTACGTAGGATTGGAGTATAGCACAAGATAAGGCTATCAGTTAGGATGTTGCGCCAAGAAAATCTCTTTGTTGTACATGGATCAACAGTGATCTGATGTTGCTGAAGTTGATAGTGGTGCAAGATCGATGGTGATGGCACACTTGATTATCAGATCCGCAAAAAAACTAACTTGCATGCCCACAAACTATCGAGGAAGGTGCACTAGGGTTTTGTGATGATCACCTGATGATCATTGGAGATACTCACGCCAATATGTGTTGCACCAAGAGTATGAGTAAGGAGCAGATGGCGAATAGGGTTGGCTTAAAACTTATTAGGGTTTGATCTCTACTATGGTGCAAGATCAGATGCTGGATGCTCCAATACTTGATGCTCAAGAAAAAAAAATGTGCAAGAGGGGTTTTAAGATATCACGACCGAAAAAAATGTGGCTCAAGAAGAATAGCGCAAGAAGTGTTGCTCAAGAAGAAAAAGAAAAGTGGCGCAAGAAGGGTTTTATGATCACTAAAAAAAATGAGCAAGAGATTTTGAAATCCTTGTTGATCATGAAAAAAAAATTGTGAGGGTCAAGAAGCATTTCGAAATCAAGGAATGATCAAGAGGGAATTTCGACAATGGGATGGCTCAAGAAGGGATTTCCAAATTTCCTTGATGATCAATATAAGGTTGTTGATGATCAAGAGGGAATTTCAAAAATGGGATGGCTCAAGAAGGGATTTCGAAATTTCCTTGATGATCAAGATAAGGTTGTTGATGATCAAGATCGAATTTCGAAAATGGGATTGGCTCTAGAAGGGATTTCGAAATTTCCTTGATGATCAAGATAAGGTTGTTGATGATCAAGAGGGTTTTCGAAATTAGGGTTTGGGTCAAGAGGTAATTTCGAATTTGCTTGATGGCTCAAGAGGGCATAGAAATCGTGTTAATCATGAATGGCTTAAGAGGGCACAATAACCTTGTTGATCATGAATGGCTCAAGAGGGCACAAAAACCTTGTTGAGGATCAAGAAGGAATTTCGAAATTAGGGTTTGACTCAAGAATGGTTTCGAAATGAGTGATGGCTCAAGAAGGAATTCGAAAATAAGGAGTACTCAAGAGGGTACAAGAAATCCTTGTTGATCACTAATGGGGTTTGTTGAGCCAAACTAGGGTTCTGAGAAAAACTTGTGGCTCAAGAAGGGATTTTTGAAAATAGGATGGTTGTGGAGCCAAATTTGTTGTTGTACCAAGGCTGCTTCTTGCTCACCAACTTTAGTTGCCTATTGAATACACGACTGTTGCTCACGATGCCTTGTTGTTCCAAGCGAGTATGAAAGTAAGAATTTGTGAGAGAGTTAAAAATGCAAGAATGAGAAGTAGAAGTTAGGTATTTATAGTTGAAGGGTTCTAGGGTTTCTCAATGGGCTGAAATAGGGCTTTCATGGGCCAACATGTGGGTCCATAAGGCTTGGATGGTACTCAAGTATAAATAGGAGAATTTCAACTTGAGTCGCGAGCGCGAGAATGATGCCTTGAGAATCAAGAAAGAAAAGGTGGTGCATGAATGGATGTTATCTTTGAGACGTGCATGGAACCTAATGAAAGATCTACTCGAAACGTGCATGACATACGTGACACGTTCATGGCTTACTTGAAACATGCATGGCGTCACACCCCAAAACCGAGAACGGCGGAAACGTTTTGGGGCGGAGGACGTCATGTAATGTATCACAATAATGTAAAGTAGTAAACAAGCAACAACATCATCCATTGCATTAATAGTATAGTTTTAATTACAAGTGTGTTCTTTCATAGTATAAGACAACATAATAAATAATCAAAATAAAAGAGGAGTCTTGATTTCTTTGTCTTCACAAAACCTGGTCGTCGTACCTGTCTATTTGTGACCTGAGAATACAAGTTATTTTGAAAGCGAGTATCAGCAATAAAGCTGGTGAATTCATAAGTAATAATGTGTCTTTGATTTGTAAAAAAACTATAAAGTAAAGACTTGTAAACATTTGGAGAAAAGTATGAAAATGTTTGTAAGTAATTGGAAACGTTTGAAAACCCTAGAAAATCCTATATTTCCTACTAGTATAAAAGTAGTCTTCTACCAAGACTCGACTGTTTTGAAAGTAGTCTTCTACCAAGACCCGACTGTTTTGTAAGAAAGCCTCAATGTAAATGTGACGGTTTTTCCCTGTTTAACTATTATTATAAAAGTTATAGTCTACCTCGTCGATTATGTGTATGAGTCACAATATAAAGGTAATAAGGAAAAATAGTTTATCTATATCAAATATATCCTACCTCGTCGTTCATGTGAATGTGTCACAAAATAAAGGAAGGAGAATAATATAATAACTAAAGATGTATCTTGCTGCATTAGGATATTCACGACGTGGAAACTCGCCAAACAGTACAACCGTAGACACCTGTCGACACTCCTTTTCCCTACTGTAGCTAACAGCTTTGGGTGTGGAATGGTAAGTCGAGAAATGTTTGTAACAGATCCTATGTAATATTATCTATTAAACGGATTAATGTAGGCATGTTCATGTAAGTGTATCTCTGTAAACGTATCAATGTAAACGTATCTCTATATGCGTATCTATGTAAATGTACTCATGTAAGCATATCTATGTAAATGTATTCATGTAAGCGTATATATGTAAACGTATCTATGTAACATGTAATGTATTAGTATAGACTTATGAATGAACTGACTCTTGTGTGATTCCTTCTACTTGGAATTGTAAGTAGTATCTCTTAACCATACCTATTATAGTTACTAGTAATGTACGAGTATAACCGGAAGTATACCTTTGCTACCCAAAGGTACTAAACTGACTAAAGGAACCTTTATACCTATATATGTATAAATGGTATATATAAATAATATTTAGACGACATTTGGACGAGAAATCGATGCCCTAAGGCCACATCCCAAAGAGAAAAAGGAAATAAAGCGAGCTAACCATCCTAAGTCCTTTAAACATTACTTATATAACTATACATATATGGGCATACATTTGACAATATAAAAGTATAAAAGAAGTTTTGTAATACCTTTGAAAAGTTTCATAATGAAGAAATGATGACTTGATATCAGTTTATAAAACGATTTGAAAGTAGTTTGTTTGAAAAGAACAGTTTAAAATATAAGAA